ATGTTAAATTCGATTATTATACATATATATATATATATATATATGTGTATATGTGTATGTGTATGTGTATGTGTATGTATCTATGTACACCTGTTAATTTGTTTGGTGAGTGTGTGTGTTTTTTGGCTTGACTATCAATTTACATTTCACGCATCGCATTTCAAGTGCTGCAAAAATGTGTTCATACATTTTGCGAATAGTTTTATTTTTTTGCTGTTGCAATAAATAATTAAATTACTAACGCGCAAATTGTGCAGTAATTTGTATAATCAATATGCTTATAGGGTTGTTAAATATTGATGAATCCGCAAAAGTTAAGAAAGGTCCCGCAACAGTTATATATAGACTATCCCTCGCCTGAGCTATAGCCATATGCATCTTGTCTTACATTTTTCGAAAATAATAAACCCTATTTAACTGGCAACAGTTGTTTGTTTTTAATCTTAATCCGTGATTGGATTATTGTGCACTATAAAAAGGGGTTTTTAAAGAACGTTTACTTCTTAAGACGATACTTAAAACCCTAGACGCTATTAAGGTGTAATTTTAAGAGTTATGTAGAGACCATAACATTATAATATAATAATGCACTCTTAAATCCAAACGTTGATAAACTTCAACACAGTTCACATTTCAATTCACTGGCTAGTATAAGACTTGAACGAACATCAACTACAGTTTACACTATAAGTGGCTGCTAAAAAATGTTATTGTCATTCAAAATGCAAATGTAAGAATTAAGTCTTTTTTCAGTTTTTAACCTATTTCCGCCCTACTACTGTAGCTAGTTGGGTACAAGCAACAAGAAATAAATTGTTCACATTTCTTTTGCACAGATTCATTATGCACTATATGCTGAATGGTGACAGAGCAAAGTTGAGATGACGAATTACGATCAGTGTGAATTTCTCTGTATTTGAAGCATGTCCTTTAAATTCTTCATTCGTTCTTTTAAATTGCAAAGAATTTCCATTAAAAAAATTTTGCACTTTAAAATGTTAATGTAAATTTCGGTTGGGTAAAAAGGCTAAAAATGAATGATTTTTTTTTAATTTTTCATGTTTTCGTAAGTTGCTTATCTTATTTTCAATTAATTTAAACATAAAAACCCCATGGTCTTTTTTATTATTCAGTGTTTTGGCCTTTTTTGGGTTAATTCCAACTCTTTTTTATTCTAGTCTCGAGTTGTGCGTATCTAAATACGATATATAAAATACCAATGAATCGTCTGCTCAAATTTGATGTGCTTATTTATTGAGAAATACCAAAAGAGGAAATTAAACAACCGCTTTTTAATAATTTGCAATTATGATGCTATAAAAGTTCAAAGATAGTGTTTGGTACTTGGAACGATTTCAGAAATGTTTAGTTATGCATTTGATATTACTTTTATCTTTCGCTCCGACTATATAATAATATAATAAACTGAATTGAGTCAAAGTCCTCTGCCCGCCAGTGGCAGCCAAGTGCGACGAAGACTTTTCTTCCTATTTGCGCAGCACGCATTGCAAGCAGAAAACTAAAGCAATTTCAGCTTACAAGATTAAAAATTATTGCTCGTTAGCTGTTATTGCAATTTAGAATTGACTTATCTCGACTTTAACTGCACGAAATCGAAATGCTTATCATTGTTTGTTAAACACCTTTGAATGAAATTGATGTGCGATAGTCTGCTATGTGGCTGGTTGGCTGCCTGGTTATTTGGTCATTGGACATTGGCCATAAAAACAATTTAAAAATTTATAAATCATTCAACGTAGTTTGCGAACGAAAAAATAACCACGATTAAATGCATTTTTGCACGTTTCTTAACCAGCAAATGAAGACCAACAAAGAAAGAAGAGAAAAAAGTGAAATTAATGTTGATTTTTGTTTTTGATTTTGTGTATAAGAAGTAGCCAAACATTTGTTGCGGACTTTTGCACTTGTATTATTTTCACGCACATATTGAAACTGAAACTTTTCACGAGCTGAATTTAATTGGCTTTATAATTGTGATGGGTTGATTTTATAACAATCAGTCAAGTTTGGTCGCCATTGCCTGGCGCTTTCTACTTCAAATACTTATATATATATATATATATATATATATATATATAAATATATATATGTATTGTATTTATGACACATATGTTTGTCCACTCTTACTCAATATAAAAGTGGGTCATTACAAGCTCAATGTGAACGAGATCTTTTCAATGAACACAAAAGCGAGCGATGGTCAAAATTTATGCGTAAATACATATATGTATATATGTACATAAGTATTTATTTTTATGATACGACGACCACCATCAATGAAAAGTCATCATCAGATTCAACCAGTTGGAGCAGTTGGGGCGTCGTGTTCGTCTACACGTGCACCAAAGACCATTAATTATGACCGCTTATGAGATGCTGGACTACTCTCTCAGACCGACCGGTGTGTTGCCAAGGGCGTTAAACTTTATGGCCTCTTGATGGGAGCGATTTGAGCTGCAGGATCTATACACTGAAAAAAAATACCCGTGAATTTTGGAAAATCGACAAGGGCTTCTCATATTTTTATTCAGAAATTTAATTGCTAAAATTTAATGTTGTGTAATGCTTAATTACAACGAGGATCTTTCAACATTTTTGAAAAAATATATATAATTTCCACGCTGTTGATTTCTATGCTTACCGTTATTAGCTCTTTTGTTAATTATATTATCATTAAACATTGATATTTTAAGATTTCACATACAAGCCTTGGTTTGTGAGTTGAGTGAGTTCGCACTGAGCTACTCGGCCTTTAAGACGGAGGACAGTTAAACTTTAATATAAAAGCTGTGCATTCATTGATTCTGAATTTTGGAAAGAATTTTTTTTAAAAATGATAGTGTGCATTTCTAAGTTTTGATACATAATATTAGAAAACTAAGAGAACCATATTTTTCGAATTGTCGATCTTGTTTATTCTTATATTTAAAAATCAGTTTATGCCGATTTTCTACAATATCGCGCTATTTTTTTTTTTTAGTGTATGCATCTGGGTCAACATGCATGTGATTTTGTAGTCTGCGCTTGTATTGATGCGTAATGGCCACGCCCAGCTCCATCACATCTCATCTCAACGCATCACATAACCTAACACAAATATTTGCAGCTCAATTGGCTTTGGCTGTAGAAGATGCCTCCATTTGGCAGCAGTAGTTTAGCGCTCTCTCTGTTGACAGTTGGCAACATAAAATTTACATGTTATCGTGCTTACATGCGCACCACTTTTATTGACTGACGTACGAATTGGCAAATTCAAAATATATTATGCACAAATATGTACATACATTTGCATGTACATATGCATATATATGTTTAGAGTCATGTTCAAATGCCAAATAGCAAGTTGCACAATTGCACACAAGGGAAGCAAACAAAACAAACACACAAGAGGAAATGTAAAGAACGACACTTTTTGCGTATTTAATGCGGACTGAAAACAGTCCACATATTTTAAACAGGTTCTTAAGATATAAATTTAAAATGTTATATAAAGTTGCAATTTAAATAATATAGATTTATGGAGAATAATAAAATTCCAGTTTGAATGAAAAAATTGATATAAAAAAGGATAATAAGTAAATATATTTTATAAAATTCCAACAGCATAATGTTCATTACATGTTAAAAACAACCAAAATAGTTATTACAATAATAACACCATTACAACAGTGACTCTTAATTCCTTCCGGAAAATCGTCAACTGAGTCAAAATATTAGTAATCTTATTCTCTGCAAGTATTGTAGTTTTGGCATTATTTTGGCAATTAACAATATAATGATCAGATTACAATTTCATTTCATGTAGCTCCAGGAACAATAAGTTGATGGGCTTTCAGTCTGCAAGGGATTATTGTTTTAAGCTTCGCAAATATGGCTGCTCTCTCTTATTATATATATATATATATTACAAAGTAAATGTATATTGGTTGATTTAGATATGTCTGGTTTCAACCAATGTCCATATATAAAAAAGAAGTCATTGCAAATATGTTAATTGAATTTAGTTGCAGTAAAAAACCTGTTGTAAATAAAGGTATCTAGAAAAAAAATCGTCTAAATAGTTATCAGTCAGTTATCAAACAAATATCAAATAGCAAAGCCGAGTTGCCGGTTTTTCTGTTTTGCGAAAAGGACGTGTACTCAGAAAACTTACAAGAAAGGTAAAAATAGCAAATTCTAGAAAATGTATAAATTACATTTAAAGATGAGAAAGAAAATCTTATAATTATTCTTTACTTTTTTTATAATTTAAACTTAAATATTTCATTTTATTTTGAATTTAATTTAATATAATTAAAATTAATTTTGTAATTGACATAAAACAAGTAAAACAATTCCAGGAAACTTGTAGTTCACACTATTTGAAAGCCATCTAAAGCAAAGTATTTATCTGTATTATGTATTTGGTTACAAAAAGTATAAAAGTATACAATTCATTCATCATGTTGTGAAACTACTCAGGCACATAACCAACATTATTTGCATGTACATACATAGCCTAATTTAGAAATTATATCCCAAAACTGCCTGCCACGTGGCAGTTTCGCTTTGTTGTGTGCAGCAACAAAAGGATTTACGGGCATAGTTCAAATTGGCGACAAGGTCAAATGTCGATGCGTAGGTGCCAACAAATAAACTTGAATTTGTTGGCAATTTGCCGCTGCAATTTTAATGTTATTAATCTTGTCAACTAATTTGAGTGTCAAAAAAAAACAAGTTGCGTTTGTTTCAAATTGCTTTGGGGCAGCAAACAAAAACTCGTTAGTGGTGCTGCCAGCAATTGAAAGTTGTTAAGTGACTCAAAAACCGTTTTCGGTTTTTCGTTTTACTACGTTTTTATGTTGTGTTACCGCTGACATTAGGAGCTATGACCGTTTATCCAAGCGCTGCAATTTTCACACTTTATTACTAATTACAGCATTTATGGAAAATTCGTTAATCACATCGTTCTTATAATTTTTGTTTTCTTTAACTCGTAGCAAAACCCACACAGCTGCAGTCACAGCTCACAGTACTCAGGCTGCTTAGCATCAAGTATACGCAAACACAGCTCCGTTCACACACAGCAGCCGGCCGGACCTGTGAGAGAAATCCAAATTGATCCCTATATAATCCTCGACGACGAGCTCAAGTATTTCTACGACGATGTGAGAGATGTAAGTTCAATATGTATATATATATATATATATATATATACATTTAGTTATCATTGTTATTATATTTATGTGTTGATTTTGTCCAGAAAACGGAAAATAAGAACTAATATTTTTATAATTACTAGCTCAAAAACTACGGAAGATATAGCCATTTAAACAAATTTTGTTTGGGGATGAGGTGGGGGGGGGGGGGGGGGAGGGGAGCGGCGGGGCGGCGAGCGGCGGGTATTTGTGTGGCATTGCCGATCTTTGAACGACACCGCTAACGATCTACCAACCAAATTTGGTAACTTTAGCCTTAACATTATGTTAGATATGAAGCTTTATCGATTTTATCAATTTCCAAGTGGACGTAGCACTCCAATTTTCCCAAGTTTCAAGTCAGTATATCTAGACGGACAGACAGCATGAAGGACATTGCACAAAACCATGATACTAATATACCTTCGGGTCAAAGTATAAAAGTGATTGCAACTAATTTTGAAACTATAATTGTAAATATTTTATACCTATTTACCATTAATATAAGCTGTTTAACTTTTATATAATATGTTATTCATTACAGCCTTAAATAATGAGCCTAAGCTTGTAGCACTTGAAAAAAAATATTACTAAATATCACATCAATAAAACATACATAAGGTACAAAGTACTACGTTGATTGGAGATTCGGAAATCGATTAATTGATAGTCGAAAATCGATACCACATGATAATAGAGTAATCTGCAGTCAGTTATGTCTGACTGCAACGATCTGAAATGTTTATTTTAAGCCTATGAATCATTTGGACAAAATTCCAGACAGAAACCAATGTTTTTCTGTTATCACATTGTTATTTTCCATTTATATTATTGTCAACAATCAAACTTATTACGTCACAATGACATCAGGGTCTTTTCCATACTTAACTTAATTAGCATTTGTGATATTTTTGGATACCCTCTAGTAGCGGATACGCATGTATAAGGAAAGGCACATTAGTTTTGAATCGATTGACTCATATTTCAAAGAATCCGATAAAATCGAGAAATATCCTAGATTAGGAGTTCAATATAGATAATTTGAGAAATCAATATATATAGATATAGTCAAATTTTTTACCATTCTGAGAGCTAAAGTTAACAGCTTTGTGAGAATTCGATCTCATGGTAGAAATTAACACTGGTCAACTTAATTTCAAATATCAATCCAAATATTCACACTCACATTGGATCAAGTATGTGTGATAATAGTCCGATTAAACTAAATGTTTTTTCACTACAGGGTATATACTTAGTCGGGCCTGGCACCCGCATACATTGATAATTAATTGTTTTTAGCAAAAGAATGAGTAAATAGTTCACAAATATTTGTTAATTTTTGGTAGAAACGCAATCCTTCATCATTCCATCTCCACAGCTATTACAGTCGGGAACATCACAGCCAGAACTGGACACCATCGCGTGCTACTACTTTGATGGACAGGGCAAGGCGCTGCGTCCCATGGTGACCCTGCTGATGGCTAAGGCGTTAAACTATCATCTGAACAACGAATCACAGTGAGTGTGGTTGGGTGGGAACGGAGTGGATGACCGACGGATGGTGCACATATTTGTAAGGCGGTGTAATGTAATTAACAGACCTTTGCGATATGTGCACATTCTGCGCTGCGTCTATGAATAACAATTAATGCCAAAATATAGCCACTTATATACTGATTAAGAAATTATATTTACCCATCGCATATCGCCTTGACAGCCAATTAGTACACAAACAACGACAGATAGCCCTCTTTTCCGAGATGGTCCACTCGGCCAGCTTAGTCCACGACGATGTCATCGATCAGTCGGACTTTCGACGCGGCAAGCCCAGCGTAAATGCTCTGTGGAACCACAAAAAGGTAAGCGCGTTATGAATATCAGATGAGATATGTATGTCAACTATATGATATATATATATATATATATATGTTTATCACACTCAAGTGGAATTAATAACGCCGAAGATCATCAAACGCAAGAAAAATTATTTCACGCATCTCTGACTTGGTCATCAATGCATTGTGTATTTGAAATGAATTGTGTGAAGATTTAGTCAACAAGTTGCTTCATTTGAGAGGCCTTTGAATGAAGGTCTTTTAATAATAGTCTGGGCTTTCCATTAACAGTTTTACATTTTTCCATGCGACACTTTCAAATTAATTTCGATCGTCATCTTGACAAGCCGACGCAAAAAGCGTGTTGTGTTTTGATGCTATCGGTGTGTTGGACCATAAAAATTAGTTGCTCAACAAATTGATTTGTACTCTTGTCGATGTGTTCGTGTGTGCATCAAACATTATTTTCAGCTATTTAAAAGTTAATTACGATTTTCATCATTGTGCTTACAGGTCACAATGGCTGGTGATTACATTCTATCGATTGCCTCGATAATGATATCGCGATTGCGCAGCGATGATGTGACGATCGTGTTGAGTCAGGTAAGCTTGATCAATTGCTTTCAATATGGGTGACTTGATTCACTACATACAAATACATAAATAAGCATATATATAATATAAGTGGTAAATATTACAGCATGTGTATTAAATGAATCCCAATCAATACTTTAATTCTACTTACACGCGACAGTTGTCAAGAGTCGACTTTTTCTTGAATTAAAAAACGGAAAAAGTGAGGCATATTTGAACTACTCAGAATTTATTCATGATTTTTTGCTATTTTATGAGTATTTAAAATGTTGACAGGGCATGTTCGAGAAGACATCTCCGACCCCAAAAGTAAATGCTTGCAATTAGAAGATCTTGATTTAATTTAGAATATGTCCGTCAAATGTCTTAATTTAAAAATATATCCGTAATAAACAAATATATATATGTTATAATGCTCCTCACATTTACGCTATAAGTATTCAAATCTTACTAATATATGTTATGGTGCTACCATTGGAAAAAGAATGGCGGCTTTAATGATTCAATTTTGATTCAGAATGGTAGAGCGTGCTGAAGTTGATAATTTATTTAAGACATTCCGCGAGGGTATGTTTAATTTCGCATGCTTAAGATGGCTAATATTTTTTTTTATTAAGTTAACAGTTTAGCCGGGTATCAGCTAGTGTAAGTATTTAATGTTTCTATAGTTTCAAGTTATTTTAAGCACATATTTGACAAACCTAGATGATTTTTAAATCAAACACAAACAGTGCCTATGTGTTGTTTACTGAGATTGTTCAAAAGCAAATCTGCCGTCAAGAATTCACCACAAAAAGTCCCGGACTTGTGTGCTGTCTCCGGGTGCATAAATACATATTCAGTGTCGAAATTCACACGCACGTTGGCTCAACAGAATAAAAAAATAAAAAATCTACTCGAAATGTAAACAGTTTTTAAATTAAGAAATGTCCAGCATGGCTTTGTATCCATGTGAAAAACCTGTTCCGTTAACGACCACAAATTACGGGGCCTTTTCAGTTGAACTTCCTGGAACCCTGGGATAGTTCAATGCAAAGGCGAAGGGCATCTGATTGCAACATTCATTTTTTTGCACTACACCATAAACCAGCATGTTTCGCTTTGTTGAAGTTACCCCTCAGTCATTTACAAAATTCCAGAAGAATCGCTTCGACTAGTGAAATACAAAACAAAATTCGCAGCTACAGGCAGTTTTAATAAACTTTAAATTAGTCACCTGACAATTTCACTTTCTGTTGCTTGAGTGAACTTGAAGCTGGCCTCTTTCAGTCATCTCATCTCATCTCGATCTATTGTTATTTACACAATCGAGCTAATGGCCAAAGCAAACCACAGATCCGCTAACACTTTAACAAGCCATCTCTGTCCGCTATTGAAATTGCTAAGCTCAATACCCATTAAATGGGCAGAAAAGTGTATAATAAACTAGGGAAGACGTAAGAATCAATTTTACATAGCTATATGTAAACTACGAGATACCCATTACTCTATTATACTATCTTAAATCGTACACCTTTTCGATATGTACATCCAAGAAAATGTATACAGTTGATAAGTATTATTACTTGGCTTTTACAACTATCGATAATCGATTACCGAGGTTAGAAATGGGAAGGAGTTATCGATCAAATGAAACTATTTAAACCTGCGCGTGGAATACGAGACTGTCTGACATGTTGTTATAGATCAAGAAAATATATAAAGTATGTAGAGGAGAAGCTTTCTTTTGCCTGTTGCATAAATTTCAGAAAATCAAAAACCCCTTTAGTCCGTTTTTAATTGGTACAGGGTATAAAACTTAACTAATATGCAACTTTCTTAAGGTAAACTTTCAATATATTTGATTCTAGTTATAAAATTGTGGGAAATATATTCATTTTATCGACTCACATAATTTATACATAAACCTATTGTACATTTTTACAATATTAAAAATACTTGTGGCTTTTTAATTGGACTTAACCAAACTCATCAGTTGTATTTTAAAATGTAACTTACATTTTGTCCAAATCAAATTAACATCGGACTTCCATAAATTAATGTAGCTTACATTGGCGCATATTGTGGAAAGTTTCTGTTTGTCGGTTCCTATGAAGACTTGTCCATCAGTTTTGTTTTTAGCTTAAGCTCGACCTGACGAAGATATTCAGAATTTATAGTAACAAGATCAAACTTGAATTAATGAGCTTGACTGCTCTTACAACAGATCCAAAGGCAAGCCCATAAAATCCCTCTTATACTGAAAGTAGTTTTGTATTTTGTATATTTTTGTTGTTTACTTTTTTGTAATGCTTATAAGCAGCTTTTGTCCAAGCCTTATATTTTTCCACTGATTTGCATTTCCTCTTATCTATGAAAGACTGTTGTATTTGATATGCAAAACATGTGTCAAAATAATTTCAACGAGCTTACAGACGCTGCCGGCATTAAAATATTAGCAGAACGTTCGAATCCAATGGGAATTTTTTGGTTGTTTCTATATAGTGGGTTAAACCAGTCGGTTAAAGTTTTGAATGCTCGGTTGGCATTATTGTACAAATGGCAAATTATGTTTTAAATACATCACATTTACGCAAATATCTAATCAAGGTAAAGCTTAAATACGCTGTACAAATATAAATACACATATTAAATGTTTTCATTCAATTTGTATTCAAAAAAAAACTATATTTCAAATAAATGGGAATTTAAAATTTTTGATTTATTTCAAGGAACAAATAGTCACTTTAACCAGGAAATGTATTCCTCAATCTTCTGTAAATTTGTATATCGATCTTTTAAGGAATTCATCAAAATTTTAATTTTAATTGTGGGAGAGGTGATTTTTATCGACTTGCACGAATATACATTTATTCCAAGTTTGAAGTGTCGATTTGCGAACATTGGTAGCAGATCATAAAAATTAAGTTATTCATTTATTTGTAGAACTTCCCTGACCTTCGCATCGGTGCATTTAAAGTCTCCCTCAAAATAAGGCGTTTCACACTTAAAATGAGAGTTGTTCTTTGTATACCCTGTACCCTTTAAATATTTTATTAATAACACAAAGAACCGATTCATGTTGTTTTTAAAAAAAAAAAAAAACAGCCGCACAATTGTATTGAAATTGCGACATTTTTGGTCAACCATTCAATGTTATAACAATTTAAGACGGCATGAAATACATATTTGCTTAATTTGATTTATTTTGCACAGCATTTCGAAAAGCTAATTGTTAAAATGTGCTCCAATTTAGGCAGATAAATGAAAAATTGGCATCGTCAGCGGCTTAAAAGGCTTCAACCAACTGCAATTTGTTGCTCTTCTCTATTTCTTGCTCGGCGGGTTGATGTTGTTTTATTGTTGTTGGTGGTGCTGGTCGTACGCAATAGTCGCACTTATTTTGGCCGCATGTGTAAATTAGTTAACATTGAAAATCAATATGTTGTTTTTGCTTCTAAGGCGAACTACAGCGAAAAAAAAACAACTTCAACTAACGTCATTTAAACAAGCCAACTCGCTGGGTTTTGGCCAAAAATATATTTGTGACCGTATCGGTATCTGAGCTGTGACTCTGGCTCTCACCTTGGGCTCCTTAAGCTACAACCGACAACCGACAAGCGACAACTACTGTATATTTGTTATACTAGACGACAAAATACTACTCTGCCGTTTGTTTACTCAACATTTTGACAACTACCTGCGAAATTGTCAGAATGAATGAATGAATGAATGGAAATACTTATGCGAGCAGCATCAACTATGAACAAAATCAAAATTAAGCGAAGGGCGCGCCAACATTTTTTATGCAAACAACAATGGCATCCAGCCACGAGGGTCTTATGTAAAGTTTTTATTAGATGTGGAAATCAATTGGGATTTGGAATAATTAGAAATCAAATCAATCAATCAAAAATCTATATCTTTATTGAAAACGGTGTTGTGTGAAAAATATCTGAACTATTAAAGCTTAAGGACTTCTGCTTATATATACATATGGGACAGGCGGACAGCCGCCTTGTGATGCTAAAAAATATCATAAATATTGTAAGGTACACGTTTCCTTCACGACAAAATTATATAATATATATATATAAAAAATATATAATAGTATATTAAGAAATAATGAAAAAGTAATAAACTTATTGTTTATTAATAATAACCAACCAGATAATACAATTGGGTTAAGTAATAAAAGTTGCAGTTTTGTCATGAAGACAAAATAAGAAAATTTGCTTGGGATAATATTGACGTACTTAGTGAACAACCCTTACACTTGTATATTTTAATGCTCATAAGTTTATCTTTGGCGTATCTGAGTGGTATTATCCATCCTGCTGGATTCCAAACTATCAATGAAATTTTATTTACCTAAATTATTTGGCACAACTCTGTTTGCCGAATTCATTTGAATTGCCAGCCATGCGGAAGTTGCCCGCATATCGATCATCTGTGGTTTCTACATACATATGTATACGAGTATGTATGCTTATAAGCATATTGCAAAATTAGGCGTGCTACACCCAACAACTTAATATTTCTTTAAATCAATTTGTACGTATCTGTCTGTTGTAAGAGTCTTATAATTTTGGATGTTCGTTTCCTATCTATGAGTCTAAGTTGCGAACCACTCTGATTTCGGGAAGGAATATTTATGTTTACAGCAATCAAAAATAATTATTGTAATACTGTACCCATTAAACTTAAACACGGTGGATAAGGGCAGAAAGAAGCTTACGGTATATATATTCTATATTTATATATATATTTAAAATAAATAGTTAGTATGAACCAATCACAAATGTATGCGAAAATATGATTCGTAATATTAGAAATATAGGACTCTGAATTGATTACATAATTAAGTTGAAGTTAGAAAATACTATTTTTTTTATTTATTATTATTATCCTTAATTAAAATAACTTAATTCTTCAACAAACTTACATCACTTGCTCTTTTTACTCGTGAGGGAATATTTAAATCATAAAGACGACAGTAAATTTGAATTTCACTTGTTTCATTTGTTTCAGATCTTAACCGATTTAGTTCAAGGCGAATTCATGCAGCTCGGCTCGAGGGAAACGGAGAACGAGCGCTTCGCACACTATCTAACAAAGACATACAGGAAGACCGCTTCGCTGATTGCCAATGCGCTGAAGGCGGTAAGTTGGGCGATCATTAAAAATGCAATTTGTATTGCAATTGCACATTTAAATGCAATTATTTGCTTGCATTTGGATTTGCACGAATGCGTTTGTCATTGTGCCCATTCGGACGGGTGATTGGCCAGCAATTGACTTTGAAATCTTTTTATTTTTATTTCGCAGACCGCCGTCATCGCCCAGGCTGATGATAATGTCGCCGAAGTGGCCTTCCAATATGGACGCAACATTGGCCTGGCCTTTCAGCTGGTGGACGACATGCTGGATTTCGTCTCCTCCACAGAGCAAATGGGCAAGCCAACGGCAGCGGACCTAAAGCTTGGCCTGGCCACAGCGCCGGTTCTCTTTGCATGCGAAAAGGTGAGCGACGTAATAACTTCCGTATTGCTACAACACTAACAAAAATCAGACTTTTCAACTTTTGACGCGGGGGGTAACTTAGTTTACTATTCAGAAAGAAGATTTCTAAAACCAGGAGTTTTCTTTTCTCAATGTTTTTCGAAAATGTAGAAAAAATACGCCTGTATTTCAGATGTGTAAAAAGAAATCAATAACACTAGCAATTTTATTGCTTATATTATTAATAACAATTAACGTATTAAGATATACAAACTTTTGAGACTTCACAAATTCGTACAATTTAATTTGATAAACCTTCCGATTTTACGTGGGGCCTGTCTAAGGTAGACAACTAGTAAAATCAAGTATAAAAGCCCAAAACCAAGGAGAACTTTCTAGTTTCTCATTGTAGGATGATTTTTTTCTAAGTGTGTTAATATACGCATATATATATATATATATATAAATAAGTGTTTATAGAAGTCGCAGCATTTGATATTTGTCCAGCTGTGTGTTTGCATTGACAGCTATGTGCATTTCCCACTTGTGGTCATTTACAAAGCACCATCGGTCATGATGTTGATGATATCATTATACTTTTGGGTGTGTGCACCGCGTGCCTTCAAATGCGTTTCCATTTTAGATCAGTTTATTATGCGGGGCGCGATAGGCGTGCGCGTGTAATGCGTATTAACTAGCAATCTTAATTGCAACGCTCTCCCAAGTCACCTAGGAGGTGTCTATATAAATTACATAAATAAAATAGCCACACATATGTATTAACGTATATTGCACACATACTGCTTATGTACTTAACAACAATTTCGTATTTTTATTTCACAGTATCCCGAGCTGAATCCCATGGTGATGCGTCGTTTCAGTGAGCCGGGCGATGTGGAGCGTGCCTTTGAACTGGTACATAAGTCACATGGACTCGAGCAGACGCGTTTTCTGGCTAAGAAGCATTGCAATGAGGCGATACGTCTGGCACAGGAGCTGACTGAGTCTCCGTATCAAAAGGGTCTGCAAGTTGTTGCCGATTTAGTCATCAATCGAATGAAGTAGAAACCGCAACAAAATATACTAAATTAAAATTATACATATACTAGTAAGTTAGTAGCAGGCAACACTTAATGTTAATTAAGTCAGCAAATGAGTGCAACAAGGAAAACATTTGTAAAAAGGAAATTAGTAAATGGTAAAAACAAGATTTATTATTTAGTTTTTAAGCATTTTTGTTGACACTGTAAATAATTGCATTAAAAGTACACAAGATATTGAGACAAATTTATGATAACGATGTACATTGTATGTAAATATGTACATGTAAAACTTGAAAAGAATTTTTAATAAACTTTATATGCAATGTTTTTGAAATATATGTATATGCATGTATATAAATCGCAATGTAAGATCTTATTTGCGATGCCCAAGCTAAAGCGAAAATTAAGAACAAATTGTACAAATCGAACCAATTCAGCTTAACTTTAAGGAAGAGTCCACTGGAAAAAATTGATTATGTTTACTAATGCTCTTGTTTGATATTTGGATGATTGAAAATACAAAATACTAAAGAAAATCAGTGCTAAAAATCTAAATTTTTTGTGTAATACAAAGTAATTGCGCTAATGTAATAAGCTGATTTTGAACCTTAAAAATCAATAAGACAAATGATTATTAGTCAACAACGCAACAAACGATATTTATATATAATGAGCAGTGTTTAATAATTTAGAAAAATATAATTAAAATCGTAACTAAATTTGTGTGTTTCTAAGACATGTCTGAATGGTTTTATGGCCACTGCATGCTTTTTGTCACCCATATAAGCATATTCAAGCACAAATTTACATATTATTCGTTTTGTTTATTTTTTATTTCTTTAAATACGGTTTTTTTTGAGTTTTAAAGCGTTTGTGCATGAAATGCACAGCATACTCATATAATCACAAAATATTTGCTAATTAAGTCCATAATGCAAATCAAAGAGATAATATATTGCTTAAGCTGCCCCAGTCTTAATTTAAAAAAATTATTTTAATATCCATACACAATAAAAATATAAATCAAAAAAAAAAAGAATAAAATTTTAATTGCAATCCTCAATGAACACATTGGAAACGAATGTTAAATGATTGTAAATATATTTAAGACTGGTTTGTAAGCAACCCTTTCCGGCTTCGGTGTAATTTTAGATAAGCCAAAGGCACCTTTACAGCCAGGTACAACGAAAACTACGTAAATAGATCAACTTCATATTCTAGCATACAAATCACATGGGTGTTATTGTGTTATTGGTCTACTGAATAAATATGCAAATGTTGACAATGTTTTTGATAATGATAATTATGTAATGATAATAACGATGAATAAAATACGATTTTTTGAGAAAACCAAACTAAGAATATCAATCGTAGATTGAAATATGAAAGAACGCTGCAGTTGGAAAAGATTCGGCTTGTGAGCATAGGAAGCCGCGATAGTTGATATGGCCTATGTTCGTCCTATGTAGAAGATTACCAGTAATCTATCCGATGACAGGAAAGTTTTCAATACTCTGTTAATAAGGTTATCTCTAGAATTGTGACAGATTAAGATTTTTTTTTTGCGTGGTGTCAGCGATCACTTTTTCAGCGGACGATGTTATTGAGGAGGTTACCAGTAATCTACTCGTCTACCTTCAAATAATTCCAAATCGATAAGAATACATATCTCCTGCAATTTTAAAGCTGTATTTACAAAATCATTTTATTTGGAACATTCACATCCCGCAACCAACAAATTAAAAATGTAATATCTCTCACAATTTCAGAGTACAATTTTCATCGATAATATAAAATAATAGTGGTTATTTACAGTATAAACATAAATCGCTGGTAGGACGTGTTCGTGATAATTATTATTAAAATATTAAAATGATAAAACGGGGCAATTCAGTTCAAAGTCTTCCAAAAACATTGGTACTTAAGGGTAGTTATTGTGGGTGAAATCGTTTTAGTGTTTTTCTAAAAAGTTAACTGTTATGTACAATGTTTCGAGAAAGTGAGTTGGAGTTGGAGCTTAAAAGGAGTTTGCATTAAAAATAAATAATTATGCCCATGAAAGACTGCAAATGTCTCCATGTACAATTGTGTTTCTTATTAATGAAGTGTTGCCTACAATTAAAAAGAGTTTTTGTTAATCTTTGTAAATGTGGAATATTGGTTGAATAATTGTTTTTAAAAGTATGAGTTTGTAAGAGAGTATTAATTTTGAGATGTGTTTTATACACCAAATATATTAAATTGTGATTTTTTAAAGAATTTTATCTGCCGTTTTATGACGTTTGTTGAGAATAAGCCGTAATTACCAAACCTGGAAGCTAGATTACTAGGAACTTCCTTAAAAGATACGTAAGAAAATTTCATTGCATCGCCAATCTCGCGCCAAAAATTGTAAATGTCCATCTCCTGCAATTTTAAAGCCAGACTCACTAAATTTTGAAAGGTACATTAATGATTATTCAATTTGACCTAAAGTGAGCCTAGAAATGTTTGTTCTAAATTTTATGATGGGCGGATTTTAATAAAAGGTTCGGCACATCGCAAAAATTACAATTAAGGTGGAGCTTATTGAGGTACGGGCGAAAGGCAAACAAATTACATCATTTCAAATAGTTAATTTGATTTAATTGAAAATCCTTGTCAGAAATTTTAATATCATTATGTTTAGATTGCTACAAGATTGTCAATATCTAAAATGACCTGTAACAGATAAAGACAATATTCTAGCACTGCCTATTAGCCTGACAGAGATATAAAACACAAGGATACACTGAACTTTAAAAAATCGGTATACTTTTGGTGCCAAGAATATCTCACCATATTACTTAGAAAGTATATTTCTAAGACAAAAAGTTGTGTCGTTCTAAAAAACAGGGTTCTTATTTACTTAACCCCTACAATTTAAAAAAAATATGTCTAATTTCCAAAGTGTTTTTAATTTATTCACCGAATTTGTACATTAGCTTTTAGGTTATATAATTTATTATTTAAAAAAAAAGTGTAACTTATTTGAAAAAACTCACGATTTTGGGTCGATTCGAACTTTGCTTTGAGCCTTTGTTAACGACCTGTGTGACTTCCCATAGAGCTAGGCGGTCCCTAAGCTTCAATTTTAAAAAATTAGCTTTAAGTATATTTTAAATAACTTTGAAAATCCAAAAAATCTTTCTAGTTTTCATTGCGATTTTTTATTGGACTGTATGAATGTTCAAAGACTTGCATTAAAATTAGGCCACACTGCAAGGCTCACTTCACATGGGTTTACATTTTAAGGAATGGAGGTTGCTTCGGCTCCGGTTTCAACTGAATCTTTTTTACATTTGACACACTTGCAGAGCTTATAGTTTGTTAAACATCAACAAGTTAGTGAGGGCTGCTTAATTAGGTTAACGTTGGCTATGAAGTGGAGCACGCAATATTGCAGCCGGAAATCCCAAGCCCCAATCCAATATTGATAGTTTTGGGAACTTTCCATTTTAATGCAACCACACGAATCAGGGCAAACTGTGCCACAATTTAACCAAAGCACATGGCCTGCCATAGCTATAAAATAAATGTATTCAATGTCCAAGTCCTGTTAGGCTTGGTAAACGAAACGAAACGAAGCGTCCCAGAAGCACTTCAGCTCAATTGCAGAGTGTGCAAGCAAACAAACGCGCAAAGTAAAGTGGCAGCGTGCCTAACTGGCAAAATATTTAAATGGCCCGGCCAGAGCAAGTTACGCAAATGAACTGCAATCCTGGCCTGACTTAACAAACAACTTCAAGGACAGAAGCGTGCCCGCTCACTTGTGCACCTTGTGCACCGCCCTAACCTAGACTATAAATAATTTGCTGGCTGGCAACGCTGCCTAGACAACCAAAGTGGTTGGGCTGGGCCGGACGAAAGTTGAGCCGAGACGAACATCCGTGCCAGGCACGGATCAGCGCGGCCAACTCGACTTCGACTGTATGATATAGAAGTCGAAGGTTTGGGTTTTTGCACGGCGGGACTGTTTCAGTAGCGCGTTATTTGCTGAACGTGGCGCTACTTCCGCTATCCAGCCGCTCACACTGCAAGCGATGACAACCAGCGATGAGATGGGTGCCTTCTGCCACGACCACATCCAACATCCGTTGATGTGGTGTGATGAGAAGAAGCGGCTGGTCGAGCGCAAAAATGCCGAGGAGAGTTTACGGATGTGGCGACGACGCAAAGCTGAGGAATGCGCCCGCAAGGAAAAGGATAAACAGGAGGTAAATACATTTTTAGGTATATAATATTACAAACTGACTGATATACAGGGATGTCACAGAAATCAATTCCAGCAAAGTTCCAAACGATTTTTACAATTTCGGTGTTTTAGTTGCTTTCAAATCGGTAGTGTTTTTACAACAACTTGTTTCTTACTCTTTTCATAATTGAGGTTTTTTTTATCTGATCATATGAATGATTCACACGCACGCTGATAATGCCAAAAATATATTTTTTTTGCATAGTTTCACCTACAATTGGCTTTTAAGTGAATGCATCTTTGGTGTGCAGAATATGTGTCTATAAAACTTAATTGATTGTAAATTATACAGTTCTTTATTTATTTTGTCTTCATGCCTTTGAATAATGATCATACAGTGCCACTGCACTGCATTTTGGATGAAAATTACACAAATCAAATTCGAAATTTGAAATTTAAAAGTGGCCGTGAATAGGTTAATATCAAATGCTCTAACAACTTCCTAACAACGCAACTGATATGCTTGATACTTATGCATCATCAGTACCCAGAAAGAGTCGTATCCAAGAAAGAGTGCTTTTTACTGCAATCGGATATTCATTCTTCTTGATGAATATATATTCATGTTACATAAATGTATTTTATCATTTTTAATTATTTTTGTTTTACCTATTTTTGAACTTAGTGTTTCTTTTACTACCTCTAAAATTCCTTGCGCTTTCTCTGTGAATGTTAACTCGAGATTTAAGGAAATAGCTTATGTCGAAGTTTGCTAACATTTTATAAGAGGACTTTGTATTGGTTTGGGCTCTTATGATTTTGAAAAGTGTGTTGTGCATCTTTCGTATACTTAGATGTATGTAATCTTTTAAATTTTTAAAATGTGAGCGGTTCGTTTTGACAGTCCCAGTCATACAGAGACAGCCATGACCTAACTTATCTTGAATGGTGAAGTAATTTGGAAAATTAAAACAATGTTGAAAATAAATTCAACATGTTACAAATGTAGGTAACGCAACGTTTTTCACCTAAAGAGTCTTTGGTAAGGGTTCATTTCTTGTTATCCTTTTCGAATTGTTCAGTGTATATTCATTTATTTAAAGTAACCAACTACACCCACACGAGATCCCGCACTTAAGTTGAGTTCAAAGACCTATGAGCGAATTTATTAACTTGGCCAGAAATTGGTTCAACAAACCATTTGACGAGTTTGACTTCACCAATACGTAGTCAAGGCGAGCAATCAACCAGAAGCAACATAGTTCCACTGGGATCAGGTCGCGTGTTTATGATTGCGAATGCGACTCAAATCCGACTGAATTTAAGGAGAAAAAATGGGTGAATGAAAAGCAAAGCGGCCCACATTGCAACTATAACAACAACCTACAAACAATAAACAGGAGAAAACAAACCTGATAGAATTCGATATAGGGTTGGGCTTGTTCATGGATGGAATATATATATATATATATATATATATATATACATATATACATAGCAAAATATAGGCATTGGAATAGCATAAGTAATAAATGGGTACCATTACTGTTATCATCTCTGAATCTGTATTTGTTGCAGTACTACGATTTGTTTCTGCAGCACTGCCCCTGGGGCAGGCCAGGTGGGGGCGCTCCAAATGTGGAGGTGCGACGAAAGGATATTACCGCAGTCGGACTGCACTCAACGCCAACTGTTGTAAGTGTAGGGTGGGGTGTGTTTTCAGATAATGTGTCTAATGTCTCGACTTCGAATCTAACTACCTCTACGACAGACTACCGCCCATCGCATCAATTCACTGCAGCCTTGTCGCTACAATGACTATTTCTCAATGCAGAAAACTTGCCATAAAAATCCACTGGCCGCCTATCACCACCATCATCATCATCATCCGCCTCCCCCCGGTGGTCGTCTGGCACACGCCCATTCGATACATCATCTGCAGGAGAGTGGACCACGGAGCAGCACCGTGACTATCTGTGAGCGAGAGCATCCGCTTAAGGGTGGCGTCAGTCTGGCTCAGAATGCTCCGAATGGTGAGAGTCTGCAGATCGATCTGAAAGAACACAACTCAATGTCATTTCGCAATAAAGGGCACGTGGACATTGAGTTGCGCTACAAGCCCTCTCCGCCGTGCAAGGGCAAAGCAATGCTGGATAAGATTGTTGTCAACAGTGAGACCGAACACCGTCTGCAGGAGAAATTTGCCTGCCAGAAGAAGAAACTGCAGAGCAAGTTGGAAAAGCCGGTGAGCGGCAGTTACAATTCACGAGGGACGTAGCATTTCTAATCTTATGGCTTTCATCCCAACATTTTCAGCTCTTCAAAGAACCCTGGGGCAAGGCCGGTCCCGGTGGCAAGCCCTGGCGCAGTCCCAAAGAAGTAGGCAACACTTTTATGAAATCTCTGGTAGGCTTCATTTGAATAAACGGACTTGAGAATGTGAAGCAAATGTTAAATTACTTACAGGGCTGGACAAATAAGGAAATGCTGAAGGAGTTGGACCAGGACAATCCCGTGACTCCCGCTGAAAAAAACACATTTCGCAAATCGAAAGGTAGTAAGCCATCCAAGCTGCAGCGCTGTTGCGAGCGTTGCACCTGCACTTGCCCCGCCATGAACAGCTCCAGTCCAACGAAGACGTCCCGAAAGATTGCCGCAGTAGTGCCACCTCCACCCCCACACCCGCACCAACAACCATGTGGCAAACGATCGCCGCCCAAAGAATGCAAGCCCATTAAGCTCTGTCCGCGCCTGCTACGTGGCCACTGTATGGCCAGCACCAACAACAGCAACAGCACTGGTGTCGATGGTACCCCGGATGCTGTAATCGAGAATGGAGTAGGCGGTGGTGTTGAGCTGGTGCCATTGTTGGCACGTAGGCGCGGCCTGCATCGCCCAATCAGCCTGTCCAGCACGGATGTGACAAAGAGGACGCCCTCGCATGATAGGTACGCACCACCCAAGCACAAGTCAAAGTCCAACAAAGAGCAGAACATCAACAACATCATCAAGAACATTAGTCACATGAAGCGCCATTCCAAGAACTTGAACTGCAAATTGCAATGCTGCAGTTGCAGCTGCGGCTGTGTGCCAGCCACAGCAACGCCGCCCCAAGCGCCCACCTGCTGCCTCAGGCGACTCACCCTGCACATACGCTAGTCATCTGTCTATCTGTCATGTGTTTATTGCAACCAAATCTGCATCTGCATCTGCATCTGTATCTGTTAATGTGTCTCTCTTTGTGTCGATCTGAATGTTTGCACCTGCATCCGTTTCCCCCTTCCGTTTCCGTTTCTGTTTCTGATTCTGTTACCGTTTCTCATTTGCTTGCTCTGCGACAATTTCTTAAATTTGAGTTCAGCTTTTGAAGTTCATAGCAATTGAATAGAAATTTATACGATTGCGTCATCTTTGTGTTTTTAATGGTTTCTCTATCACTTCTTTTGGCTCATTCAGCAACAAAATATCAATTGTAATACAAGTGAAAGTATAGCAACCAAAAGAGTAAACCCAAACACACCAAACTAAAAACTAACTGAACAACCCCAAACAATATCCAAATCATAATACAAATCTTCTATGTATCCATCCCCGTGAAAAACCGAAACCCAAAAAATCAAAACAAAACGAAACCAATCGCTAAAATCAAATCAAATGACTTATCACAATACAACAATCAACAATGCTGCTGCTGCTGCTGCTGCTGCTGCTGCTGCTGCCCATCGCCCATCACCCAACTTGCAACTTGACATCCCACTGTGGCAATTAAATGGTGTAGGATACAAACAGCCGCCGATATGCGCTACCTGCACGATTTGAACGTGCAAATATCACAGAAACGGCGCTCGGTCAGTGTCTCGAGGCAGATGGAGCGAGACTTGTGTAATCAACATTTCGACACATTCGAAACATTCTGGGGACGGCCCGGACACGGCGCACCCTCTGGCGATAAGATAAACAAATTAAAATTGGATAATTTGCTTTACGGTGACCCTGAGACATCGTAAGCTGTACGGGTCCAAGTCCAGTTCCTGCTACAGATACTCGATTCGCATTCGGCTCGTTGTTTGTTCGACGCAAATCGTTTGCACTGAAATCAATCGATGCCGCTTTTTGGCGCCACGGCCCAGCAGACGATTTGCATATCTGCGGAGTAAAAGTTGACTTCAAAGTTTTGCCAACTTGCATAGTTCGCAAGTTGCCCAAAGTTTTGCATTAGTCAACTAGGTCTGGTGGACACAAAAAATTATTCGATTTTTTAGTATTTAGTTAGTTTTTATATCCCACTTGACTATATCGAAATTGCATTGAAATATGTGAAATAAACAACAAATTTCTGCTAGTCATAAATAGTATATATATAAAGTAAACATATTGTGTAAATAAAATGTATTATGCGTATTTAAAGTTTGTACACACAGCTTATCGTTTTTATTCCGGGTGTGTTGTCTAAATAATAGCATTGTACAGTGGTACTCAAACCAAGCAGACGATTGCTACTGTTATAGGAACTTAATGTAAACAATTGATGTCAAACTGTAGGTCTGTATGTCCAACTGCGGGGTTATTTTGTTTCCAGATAACCTGGTGCAGGCGAGCCTTAAAGTGTAAAATCTTGTTGATTCGTTTGAGTATTTGTGATATAACTACTAATATCAATGAGATTGAGCTTAAAAGCATTTCATAATTTCGATGTGCTTAACATATTGAACAACTAAGTAGCTTGCTGAAATATATATTACTCATAGCAACCGCCAGCTAGACCATTCCCGCCAATTTAAGAGTGGGTTTTACCATACTTGATATGTAGATGAATAGGAACTTCCTTATAAGATTAGTAAGACCATGCCTCGGCCAAACTCATCTAGACCCAAAAAAGTCTGTATCTCCAGCAATTTTAGAGGTTGTATTACAAAATTTGAGGTGTTCATAATGCTGATATCAGAGTATTCCTTGTGCTCGATTGCAACGCTCTCACTTGTTAATTTATTGTTGTGTAATTTTTTTCTCTAACTCCCTATTTAACTACCATCGTAAACAAGTTTGCTTGTAGTTAGACGACGAGCTTTCAGTAGGCTCAGTGCTGATTTTGGACACTTAATTTGATAGTGTAAACTATTGAAAGAGCTCTTAGGCAGAAGCGATCTACTGAGCTTGCTTTGCTTCAAATTTATTGGCTCCGGTAAGGTTTACGCCACCTAAACTACTAACGCCTACTAATGATAATAGTCAGCAGTTGATGCAGTTTATTTTTTCTGCACAGTAGTAGGGAATTGGGGATTCTATAACAGGAAGTGGCTTATTGCTTTTGATTTTTAATTACTTCATTATTGGAGTTAATTTATTGCTTTTGGGTGGGGAAGTGACAGGTGTGTAACCTTTTTTAGAAAAATTTGTGGTTTTGGATCACGTATGAGACATTTATGATCGAAGGGCATAGATTTATGGCTGACCCTTTCTTATTGAGGGTTGACATCAGGTGGAGGATCACTCAGCAGCACTTGTGTGTGCGTACGTGATTGTGGTTTTAAGGAAGATATTGTGTGCGAGGCGTGTAACCTGTAACCTGTGTGTTAGAATCAAGTGGAAGATCAGCTAGCAGCTGGCGCACTGTTGTGCATGTTCATGATTTGATTATTGAGGGTGGGTGCAATGATCAGTGGAAAGGTAATTCTCGCATCTCTTTTGTCACTTTTTTGTCAATGCAAAGAACTCATACGAGACCTCACACCTGAATGTTTTCCCACACAATAATTAAAGTATTATTGGTGTAAGCTGTTGTTAAGTAGGTACTTCGCACGTACGTTTGCCACGTGCTGGTACCTTCTTCGTGTGTTTGGTTCTCTCCCTTTTTACAGTGCACTCTGTTTGAGTGAGCCTCCTTATGTTAATTTCACAATAATTTGAAATAATAACCTGCGTTGCTTTGTGCACCTGTGGGCTTCATAACTAGGTTTGTAGAGTTTAAAATGTTTAAATAAAATAACTTCTTTTTTCTAATTTTCATAATATATTTTATTTATTTATGTATAGAATGTTTACAAATGTGAAAATTTGTTTATTCTTATTGATATAGTTTAATTTTAGGATACATGTACATTATGAAAGTATATTATTATTATTATCCATTTTGCTTAACCTCTTTCTTAAGTTACTTTCTTAATAAGACGATCCAGTTTTCTTTTATATGATACAAAGTAGTGACAAGCACATGTATCAGCTCCTTCTCTGGCGTTATCCGAAGACCATGAGCACACTGTCAAGTGCTTTCCATATTTTGATTTAATTAGACGATAGTTTTCATATTCCAAGAAAAATACTCGGTATTCCTCCAACAATTTAGAATGTTCTGGAAAAATTGCATCCTCACACTCCTTGAGGAAATCATCAATTTTCCTCACATTTATTTTAAATCCAAAATTCAAAATTAGACCCATTCTGTTGTGTATTCTCCAAAAGCAGAAATGCAACTGAAGAATTATTTTACTTTATTTATAAAGTGTCTATACTTGTGTAACTTTCTTTTGTAATACTTGTCAATACTGGTTTACATCTATTTTTTATTTCTTGAAATTTCAAAGCATAAGCGAGTTAAATCAATTTCTGCTTCATGTCCATAAGACACATTTAAATCTAGAAGTTGTACATCATATTTCCCCATCTTTGAACATTTTGGGATAATATAATTATTATATATATTACAAATTTGATTTTTAAGCAGTGTATTCCAACATAAAAATTACGTGAAAAATATCGCTAATCTTATGAAGGCTCTCCATGATTCACTATCAAATTCAATTTTATTTCCGTATTGATTTAAAATTAATATGCATTGCTTATCGGATTTTCTAATCTTAAAATGACACTTTATGCTCTCAATCTTGGGATTATCAATTATTTCATCAGACATCAATAACTCAAACTGATCAAGCCTTAACTGGATATACTCCTTAAACTTCAGTAATTGAATCCATTCCTCTTTTCCAAATCCAATGAAATTACGTTTATGCTGCTGCATCCAAACCATTGGTGTAAATCGTCTCGTTGTTGAAAAGCCACACTTTAATTTTAGTTGTAGATTAACAAAATACTCGAAACCAAAAATGATTTCGTGATCTTGAAGTTTTCTTGAACTAAACAATTTATTTAAACTCTTTGTAATCTTAGAAAGCTCTAATTTTGAAATATATGGAAATTAAAATTTGATTATACCATTATGTTCCTAAATATAAACAAACTATAAAATCTATAAAATTCTATATATCGAGTTTGCTTTATTCAATTTAGCCAATGGGTCTACATTTCACTTAAATTACACGTTATAATAAAATCGAATACAACTCGCGCATTTTTTAGGGCACTTACACCTTTATTTAAATGGGACCCACAATCGGAGAAAACATTTAATTTCATTGTATATAATCGTGGACATCCAAAGTCTTCAATGTTGATTACACACGTCTTTAGAAACTTTTCAAGAAACTTTTTCTTTGTATCTCCCTTTGTGATTACTCTCATATCCTTGAGAAGCTCACGAAGATAGTTTCTGACTTCTAAAAAGCTATCATTTCCATCATTCCAACAGAGATTGTGCTGATTTCTAGTTAACCATATTGCCGTTTTACGGGCCTTCTTCGTTAGTCTAAGAAAATCATATGGCGGTCTTATAAGGTAATGAATGTCATGATAATAACCATTCTTAAAAACAAGAGCAATTTATTTTAATTTCAATTATCAAAAAATCCTTGAATGTCGACAACTACTTGATTCTCCATCGAATTGATTTAAACAATGCGCTGAACTAATCCTGTTAATGGTGAATACTCAACTAACCGATCATGCATAAGCAGACAATATACTTTAGTGTTTCTCACACTTGCACTCTCCAACTCGATGGAAACTCTGATATCGATCGGTCCTGTTTTAACAGACTCATTCTGATGTGTTAGATCTATAACAACAATCGGTGCTTTTTCCTTAAATTCCTTAGGTGTTAACAACGGTTCAGACTGCTTCATATAGTAACTTGCTTGGAAATTTGCATACATATCATACAAAGTTGCAAATCGTTCACGACTAAAATTTATATTCAAATCATCATAGGGATAAGTTTCAGAGTTCAAGTACACTTTCAAGTTTCGCAATTGATTTTGAATCAATTTATTATCCAGTATAAAGGCTATTATAGCGAAACGTGGGCGTTCTCTATTGGCTGCAAGTTTTACATTCCACACATGATGAGTGCCTTCTGCTAGTGTTGGATTGAAATAACAATCCCAACTGCGGAATGCTAGTGGTAGTGATCCTCCATATTTTGTTATATTTAACATTAGTAATTTCTTCTCATCACTGAGAGTAATATGTGGTACTTTCCATGTAATATTAGTTATATTTAATTTATACTCAATACTTCCAATTTTACTATGTTATGAGTAGTATTAGTTCATGTTTACAATTTAATAAGACTTTGTTATAGTCTTCACAAAATCCAAGTAGGTATTTAATAGGAATAGAGAAATTAAAATATCCATCATTTGGCACTAGTTTTTCGTTTCCATTAAACCAACCAGAATTCTCAAGCATTCGACTTTCAGGTTTATTCAAGGAAATATAGTTTCTTAAGGTTGTTGGAGTGCCAACAAATCTAGTTCGCTCAATTTCAATTTCATTCAACTCGAATCGAACCACATCAAAAAGGTAACTCATGCAATTGTTTTTCAGTTTACCACCTCCAGTAGGCGCATTATTAGCCAAAGATATCACGCCCTCAATATTAATAAAACTCTCGCTCGGTAGCACATATAAGTCCTGATTCTGGATTGTGATTCTAACTTCATCATTACTCTTAAATGATTGAGTATAGGGAGAGTAGCTATGATATTATTTTTTTATTATTCTCTCATCCGAATACGGTTTTTCTCGAACAGTTAAAAAATTAGGCATTGTTCTCTAATTTTTAGACCCAATGACCTTAAAAACAATTCGTTCTCTGTTGTGAGTGCTGTCCTTAACGACCTTTCTTCTTCTGCTGTATAACTCAAAGTATTTGATAAT